TTATTATATATATATATATATATATATATATATATATATATATATATATTTTTTTTTCCAATTTTAAATAAACATTTTATGCTTTTCCATTCGAAATATTATTTGATCACAGAATTCATTTCCGGTGAACTCTGAAAAATTGGAAACTCAGAGAATTTTTATCGAAATTATCTCTTCAAATATTTTATTTTTATTCTGCGCAAATATTAAATCTACATCAAAATATTAAGTTTTATAAGTTTTATTCGAGGTTTTTAAATTTTTGTAAATTTAAAATTTTTAAATTTTATTTAGAATTTTAAATAAGCTCTCTTTCGCTTTGAGCGGAAAAAAAATATTTGAAAGTTTAGTTTTTAATTTTTATGAAATAAAGATAAAAATAATAAAATTGAAAGATTAGATAAGGGTTTATTCTACATGATAAGGGTTTATTCTACATGATTTTCTTATCAAACATTTTAAACATTTCTAAAAAGATGACCATTTTTGTATTTGCAGATAACACCATGCAATACGCCAGCCACTCCGCCGAATTTCCCAGACGCTCTATTGGCATTTTCTAAAATGTCTGCAGGTGAAAAAACTCCATCGGGTAAGTCATTGATTACAACTATAACTTTAATATATTGATAAAAAATAAATATTGTATAAGATTAAACTATTTTATAAGATTACTTTAATCCATTAATATTTTAAACATTCAGAACAGAATTTTAATTATAATTAAAATTATAATTATAATTTCATGTGTGTTTATATTTATATATATGTGTGTTTATATTTATTATCTATATTCTGGTAGATATTTTACGTATAATTAATTTTTTGAATATTTTTTATGCGATATCAGATTAAAAAAAAAGATAAAAGATATTGTTACGGACTAAACTTCTATCAGTTTAGTATTGATCAAACGATTATATTACGAGACATTTTCTTTATTTGCCAATTTCAATATTTTTTTCTTTTTCTCATCTCTCTCTTCTAAAAATATATTATTTGATAAGATATTAAGACTTATTTTAAAAGTCCATAAAGTCGTAATCCATAAAATATCATAAAGTCATAAAGCGATTTCTGGCATTTAGAGATCATTTTACGAAACGTTGCAGGCATGTCTCCGAGCCAGAACGGATTTCAGGCAAACTCGACACCGATGGCGAGCATTGTGCAGCACCACACCGCCGGCGGCCGGTGTAGTGCATCCGGCAATGCGACACAGCAACAGACGCAACCCCAACAGACGCAATTCGGCCTGGGCGAACCGCAGAGATAAAAATGACTGTGCTAATTGGTGATGCGCGAGCACGAAACGGCACGTAAATGCGCGCGATAACGTTTCTGGAGAACAAAATACTGCGCTCTATGCATAGAACGCGAAAAAGGAGAGAGAGAAAGAGAGACAGAAAGGTGAAAAATGTATATGAAAAAGAAGAAATTCTCCGTCTTCTGAGAAAATGTATCCTTCCTGGAAGAGGAAAATTCGTGAAATTTGCGAATGAGATCGCGGTAATTACATGAAAATATGTATTCTTTTGCAGATTGAAACTGGATTGCTACGTTTATTTACGCACAATAAGCGATGTGCGCATTGTTGTGTATGTGCGAACGCACGAATGAGTCGAGTGTCGATTTTCCTGACGATGCCCGAGGGAATGTGATACGTATATTTCGATCGCTAGATTTCCTTCTCGGCTTCCTCTAGGGAATATCGAGAGGGATCTAGGCATAGTACGGCACTTTGAATAGTCCGCTATAAATATATTACACACGGCCGATATGAAAACGCGAGTGAGGGACGAGAGACGGAAAATCATATCGAAGAGCCTTTCTTCTTTTATCTCTGTCATGTTCGGATTATCTCGTAGGTCCAAAATGATCGAAGATATCGATAATTTGAAATAATCGCATTGTAAGAACGGCTCCTTCATTCTATTCTAATTTGACTTCCTTATCTTTATAGATGCTATAGACACATGACTCTTTCTCAGATTCATTCACTATATACATCACCGTTAAACTAGGCGATGAATTTCCGCTATCACTTCCACGTCACAGTACAAAAGAGTTGCGAGGATGCATGGTTTCTTCGATTAATAAAAAATCTTTTCACGGAAAAAAATGATGGGAGAATGTATGTATCTTTAATGATAGATGGATACACGATGGCTCGCAGGCGGTCATGTAATCATGGAACTCGAGTGTTTTATTACGATCCTATCGCTGTTCTCTTAAAATAGTGATGCTTGCGGCACGCGTTACTCGCGCAACGTGTGTCGTTCCCGTACACATAAGCGATATTTCGATGGTATAAATATACGAGGCTAAGTAACAAACTTTACTGTGTAAAAATTTGTAAAAAGAGTAATCCGAGTTACGTAATGTTCGTTTTACATAATAAATAACTATGTAAAAAGTGAAATCAAGGAGGATCTCGCGAGTGATAGAATATATAATAGTTTGATGAATTGATTTACACAGAAAGATTTAATATGAACAACCGATGAATAAATGAACAGGGGATATTCTTGATTCAATTATTTCGGTTACTCGCGAATATGCTAGAGATTACTGCCTGGTTTTATGCAGCACTAGACTTCACGACGTTCACAAAAAATGCTCTTGTATGGCAGCTGGCACTACTGATTCTGATATCATAGTATATCAATAATCCGAATATATGGAACTCTGTATCTTTCATTATATTTCTCGTAACATAGATGGACGATTATTCGTACTATAGATACATACTTGTTTTCATTAAGATTATTTATTCAATATAGCAGCGAATTTAGTTTATCACAGCTTTTTAGAAGCTTTCTTCCTAGTTTGAGATTCCCGTTTCTTCATTGCATCTTATATAATTATAATAGAAGTCGAAAGAAAGAGAAAGACAACATATAAATTTTTTTTTACATTAGACGTCCAAATAAATTTTTCTTTATGTTATCAATCGCGTTTGATACTATAAGTTGATAAAATTTTCAATAAATATCAATAACTTATTATTTTCAATGAAAATGAATTTTATATTTTGTGGAGATTTATTATTTATTAATTTTTATAGACGAAAGGAAAGTCTTTATTTAATATCGATCTACATTAATTAAACATGCATAATAGTATGCAAAGGAACTAATTTCCACGTACAAAAAAAAATGTATAATTTTTCACTGTAATGTTGAAATTCAATATGACTGTAGTGAAGAATAAGAGGACCCTTAATATAAAACAGATCCTTAACTAACAGAAGTTCATTTATTCTTTATAATCTCGATATATCTGACAACAAAAAGTTTTTATGGATGCAACACGATATATTCGATTCTTTTATTTGTAGTCACGATAGTAGTCTCGATCATAATAGAACTTTATAGTCCAAGCTTAACATAATAATTTAATTTTCAATCATGCAATAGCATCCAGGCGTCGCATAACTTTGTTAATGGGTTTATGTAAATAATAGTAGATATTAGTCATAAGATAAAAAAAAACGTACTCTTTTAAAGTACGAGATATTTTTTCCAATAAGGTACATGCTTTAAAATACCTTCCTTACGTTTGTATACTATGTAGGCTGTATTTAAAGATGATATAAAACTATCTACAAGGAATAAGAATGTTTTACTATGTTGAAATTATAGTTATTGTTTATTTGACTATTACAAAGACAGATAATGGTCATGTACATAATGCTGAAAAATTAAATAAAATATTGATAATGGTGCTTTTCTTTTCTTTTTCTTAGCGGTCTAGTTTCACTAGTACCTTTGTACTTCAGAGCTTGAGAACGAGCAGCCTTTAAAGGATATTATAAAAGGATTATTATATACATTATTTAATCTTGATGTAAGTTATATACATGTAATATCTTATGAAAAGCTGTGAAAATTATTTCCGTACGGAAAATTAAAATGTTGACTTACGTAACGTTTAATAAATTATTTAAGAGTGGTAACTACCAGTATCACTTTTCATCGACATTTTTCGAGTATATTAGCACCGTATAAAACATACGAAGGAAAGTACGACGCACTCGTAATTTTCGCCAACGTACGTACAAAATTATATGTACATCGATTATAAAGTTAGCGCATATGTGTAAAATTTTAACTTTTTGGAAATTACACTTATTGAGGTGGTATCTCGACACTTTTACCTAGACCCGACCATCTATCTGGTACCGGCAGGAAATAACGATGCATCGCAGCTATAAATCTGGCGCGGTACTCCTCTGGCGATATTATGGTCGGCAATTTACCTTGGCCTCCAAGTATACCGGATTTCTTTACTATCGTCTCCAGCTTCTTGTCCCACGTAAACGTTCTTATATAATCTGCGTTGATTGCAAGAAATAGCAATGTAAGATCGACAACAAGTTGATGAAAGGACGATAATACACTCAATCGTTCTCACCTATTATGCCAAGCACGAGTTCGTCAGAGCTCGGCTCCAAGCCTACCAATAATGAATAATCCATTACGGAGTTGTCAGCTAAGAATTTGGTGTCCTGCTCAATGGCTCGGTTCAATACTGCTTTGGAATGTGATCGAATGTATAGAGGAGAATCACAGCTCACTGAAACGCAAATATTCGTTAATTTTATAATTGATTAATTTTATACTTGTGTGTAAATAATTAAAGAATGCATACTATTCAATAAATTCTCGTCCAGTAAGACCAGTTCACCCTCATGGCAGGTATCGTCCGGATTCACCAGCCGATTCCGCACGGATCCCTTCAGGTCAAACTTGTCAGTGATGATTCGATTATAAAAGAGATTTTCCATTACCAATACGCTGGTACGAAGCGCCGCATTGGTCGTGTTATTTTTGAACGATACTCTGTACACGCCGACTATCTTGCCCAGCAATGTTGGTTGCTTAGTTTGCTGACACTTTTCCATATATGCAAAATAGTTGGGCGCAAAGTCGAGGAAGATTTGCATGTCGAGTCGAGACATCTCCTTTATAATAAATCTATCGTCTGTAAAGAGGAATATAACGTGTTATAATTTTAACTTGCAACTGTCTTTGTAACAAATGACGAGTTGCAAAACGTCTAAAAGCTTTTTGTTAGCGTGTATATTTTTTTTGTTTCATCCTAGATTATAGTGGATTTTAAATGTCATCTAATCAATAATTAAATAGTCAAGATGCACGACATCGTACCTCTGCTTTTACAAAAGGTACTGCCGCTCTTTCCACCTCTCGCCGTCCACTGCACGGTTCGACTTAAACTCCTCGTGAAACCGTCCTCGCCGCAAGGTAGAACATTTTCTCTCAGAGCGGCGAACTGCGCGGCAAAATATATCCTGCAGAAGAAATTAGTCGTAGCGTCGTTAAACTGGACTTCGATATAGTTCTGCTGCTTAATCGCTTTCTTCTCGTCATCTACGTCGGAACCAACTACGACGCCACTACCGCTCGTTTCCGTGTTCGACACATTCTTGTCGGATTCGATTGGGCTGCTGGCTGGATTGGGACTGTTGCCTCGAAAGAAGGACAGCACAGATGGCCGCTTAAACTCGCCGGATTGCGCCAAATCGAGGGAACTCTCCTTACCTTCGGGAAACTTACGTTTGCTCAATGGACTCGGATTCAAATCCGGTCCCTTCGCTGCGCGTAATAGTTCCTGCAACGCGTGTTTGTAATCGTGCGAATCCAGAGCGTATGCGATTATGGACGAAAGCTCGGATTCGTACACAACTATGGGCACCACTGACCTACAAAAGAAGAACGAGAATTAATCTACGTGCATACATTTAAAATTTCATCGCTTGCAATCTTAATCTCTCATTCTTTATTTTACAAAAGAATGTATATTCAAATCTTGGAAAATATTCAATAAAAATTTTTTAACTTATTTTTATTTAAATTTCCATTCACGAAATGTATGTTTTTAGATACAAAGTTAAAAACAATTTTTATTATTTGGATTTCTTCTATTTTTATAATCAACCTCATTTTGCCATTTCTGTTATAGCTTAAAATTTCAACAAATGGAAATTCGCTATAGTAAATATTGCAAAAGTTGGGGATTACAAATGCGATGTACCCAAGAGGTAGCAAGTAATGTTCTAAAGGGCCCAAAGGATTCGGTATTGTATGGTTCACAGAAATGGACGGCAGCAATTGCGACAGGATTGTTTTCTTCTTTTTCTTCTTATCGTGGTCGTCGGAGGACAACGGTAGAACATCGGAATGCGATCTCTGATGCATCTTTGGCGAGCCCTGGACGGTGACGACTTCGTCAGGATTATTGGTAGATTCCAGAATTTCGTTGTCAGAATTTTCGATCACTTCGGATGCTTGGAAGTCACTTTGCGCCGCTGCGATCGCGTCGACAGCATTATAATCGGCCGACATGGGGCTCAGGTCTTCAATCTGCGATTCTGATGCGGTGTCTTCGGTTATGTATCCGTCAGTGTCGACTACGCTGTTACTGCCGACAGTCATGGATCGTTCGGTGAATCGACGTGGCCGTTCGTCTTTCTTCTTTGTTATCTCCGATAATTTATTATTCCACGTGAACACGGCCTCCGCAATGAGTCGTTTGAGTATCACAATACCGTCCTCTATTCTGAACATCAGCCCTTGCACCTGTTTCTCGGACGTCTTGCCTTCTAGCTTCTTATTCTCCAACGTTGGCGACGTTAGCTTGAGCTGGATCTCTTCGATTTTGTTTTTAAAATACTGCTGATCTTTAGTTAATTGCTGTTTAGCGAGGTTCAAGCCTTCCAAGTCTGTCTGCAGACTCGTCAACTTTTCTCGTATCGCCGTGAATACTTCGTCACCCTTCAATGCCACGCTTTTCATCTCTTCGATCACATTGGCGTGCTGCTTCGGATCGTAAATGATATTGATCAACGGTGGCGGCAGCGAGATCTCCCACTGTGAGATCTTGGTAAATTTGAACACAGCTAACATGTTCCTGCGTGTGAAATACTGATAGTGATCGTGATGTAGAGAATGTTGACACGAGTCCATGCCACGTTTCGTGTAGATACCACCGTAGAAACGCAACTCAAGATATTTAGCAAACGATAAACACCACGTATCGCCCGACATCGGTACCACCGGTGAAACGCTCTTGCACTTGACGCATTTGCTCCACATCAGAATCTGATCGGCATCCTCCTGCACGAATGGCTCGGAACTCATCTCGTTAAGACTAATGTGAACGCAGCCGCCATCGTGCGCAAAACGCCGAACGTGTTGAGCGATTTGTGCGCGACAAGCTTGCGCCGGACATTTATATTCCGTTGTCAGGCAATAACGTTCCAGGAAGCGACCGAGAGCGATATCATTCTGGCCGTACATGGTCATGTTCACGACCCAGGGATTCACACAGAATGCCGGAGTGTCGTTGCCAGTGTGCGAGAAGCTGCAGAACAAAACGGACAGGCGTTGATGGCTACTGGGATCCAAACAATCTGGCCAAGAAGGTACCTGCGACTCGTTGTTCTCGAATGACGCTGGTGACTGCTGCATCTTATCGAGCAATACGTTATGCGTCGGATAAAGTCTATTACCGCACGCTCGGAAATTCGCTAAGAGACTCTGCACCTCGCGACTGTCGATGTCCGTGGTCAGGCGCGCTTGAACAAATGGATGCTGCGGTCTCAGCTTGATGTTCGTCCACTCGCGATTCGAATCGGAAGCGAATTGCTCATTTACAGTTACGCTGTTCGTTCTGGCCTCTTTGACCTTGTCCAAAAACTGCACCGAGTAATAGATCTCTCGTGGGAAGAAGCTCCTCAGCACGCAATTTCTCCCGGGTTCAGTTTCCAAATAAGGTATTGAAAATTTTAAATACGGCGATATGCTCAATACAGTGTCTTCAAGCGCCTTCTTGAACTTGTTAAATAGCGGGAAATCGGCGACGCTCAGACGTTGACCACTCGGACTGGTACGATTAAATACATCCTCGTCATCCTCATTTAAATATTGATGCAATGGATCACTCCGATCGCTTATAGACTCTCCATAAATACGTTTTTCTTCGGAGGATATCCTGTCTTTCAATTTCGCTTTGTCAATGAGCTCGTCAGTTTTTTGCTCGTTTCCTTTGTTTCGAATAAATTCTGCGGAGTTATTACATTCTTCCGTGACATCGGAAGCAAAGTCCGAAGTATGTATTATCGTGTTTTCAGATTTATCATCATTATGTGAAACTATGTCGTTCTCACAAGATACGAGCGCGCTATCTTTCGAATCGTGCAAGGATGGTTTTAATTTCACCTTAAACAACTTTAAGGTGTCGTAAGGATCTTCTGGTAGCATCGATGAGACTTCTTTCAGGGAACTTGTATTTAAAACATTTTCAGAGTCATAGATATTTTCACTTTTTGTTGATATATTTGTATTAGTCTGAACATTTTGTATGTTTTGCTCATTATTAGGAATATTCTCTTGATTTTGATTTATCATTGACGCTTTCTTCATATCGCTTGCATGTTCATCGATAATGCAACTTTCGAATTTCTTTTCTTCTTCGCCATTCAAAGAATCTTTTTGAGATGTTTCATCTAGGAAGGAATTATCCTTAGGTGATGGCGGTTTGGCGAACTCATCCATGAGAAATGACTTTTCAAGGCGCCACGAGTAAGCCGCAAAAATCATCATCGAAGTAACATTTTTCACCTTCTTTAATTCGGTTTGCGAGCCACCTCGCAACACAATCGTTGCACCCAAATGCGGATTTGCACAACCTTCAAAATACATCAATGTCTTGACGCCTTCTAAGAGAAAGACAGAAAAAAAAGAATTAAAAAAGTTATAACTATTTATATTTTATATATTTGTATACACGATTACTTACTTCGTTCATCTGGAAAATTTCTTAAATAGAATTTCTTGCACGTGCCAAGCATATATCTCGCGCTTATGTGGGCATCTATAGTATTTACAATACTAGCGCTCGTACATCGCGCTACTCTCTTGAGTACACTAAGTTTCACATTTAGAACTAATGTGACGCCGCACTCTCTTAGTTTATCCTGAGCTAATCTAGCTACAGATCGATGTACAAGCACTACATCCGGACCTAGAGCAGTGATCCTCGCCACAGCATGCCCTAAATATTCGCTCTCCTAGAAAAATTTACTCAAAATATTTCAGCGATATCCTTAAAATTAATATAAATATCGAAATTAATTGCAAAGTAAAAATAATAAAAGTCTACAATGTACCTGCATCATTACAGGCTCTAAGCTTAGCAACTTGCCCTCTACACGTTGATACATCAATCCGCATTGCAATAATAAGATTTTTGGATGAGCGATCATGGCATCCATACCGCGATGAGCGATATTCTTACTACAAATTATGCCAGATACAATTTCGCAATCGTCTCGGCTACCACCGGGACACTTCTTGAATTGTACGTATTGTCGAATATCCAAATTGTCAGCATCATGATTTAAATCCGGTCTAACATGATCGACTATTTGATGCGCGATAGATAAAATTATATTCGACCATGTTTGCGACAAGCCTTCCTTGCTAAGGAGTTGTTTAATAAGAGAATCTTCATGTGCTTTATACGCGGATCTGTAACGAGTAAATGTCACGTTTACTTTTCTATTTTATCATAATTATTATCGATTACCAAATACTGAAAAAAACTTACGTTAAACATTCATACGCGCTTAATTCACCAAAAGCCGTTCTCAGATTAGTTGCTCTGTGCCAACCGTTTTTCTCCTTGAATTCATGTACTTGAAGCGTATCACTTAAGAGATCGTCACATATTTTTAGATTACAATCGTGCGATTTCAGATTAATTTCTTTCTGTTCGATTATTCCATCGCTACTGTCCACGGAAATCGCAGTTAAATCTTCCGAAGTCGGTCTCTTTAATGTGACGGTGGATGCTTCTAGATTTAAATCCAAATAGAAACTCGAACTGGACGATGGTAAACGACCAAAAGTTTGTGAATGCGAACTCATTGGTCTAATTTCGCTCTCGGAATCTGTAAATAAATCGAATATCGTTGAGTAAATTCTTATATTAAATTGAATCTTATATTAATTATTATTATTATAATATTAAAAATCACAATTATCATCGTATTACCCGTAGTTGAATCATGTTGAGGAATAGTTTTTACCCAGGCTGGCTCTTGTGCGTCGCACGTCGTATGCTTTTCCGTTAACAAGCCTATATTTTGCAAGGAGGATAACTGTACCGGTCTGAATACAGTCGCCGAATCACTGAATACGTAATCAGCGATAACTGACTCAATGAAACCCGCTTCTAACAATGCTTGGCCTATCGCAGTCGCTTGCACACTAAAAAGAGCATAAGTAACGATCACAGTTCAAACTGCAACGCGATTAGAAACAGCAATTTAATTGTGTCGATCAGGCATGTACCGAGTGGCCGCTTTATTCTGTACTATCATCCAATTCACCAATTCGTTCGCTAGAAAACAATTGTGATAACTTTTCAATCGAATTCTATGCGTTTGCAGTTGAATGGCTTGACTAGAACGAAACAATTCTTCCCAGATCATTCTTAAAGAAGCCGAATTTTGTAACACAAGTGAACGTTCTTGTGATGTTAAGTAGCTACTGCTCGATCTGTAAGAGAACGAATACAAGTGCGGATTCAGTTATAACAAATATATTTTTATATACATACAGATTAATTTACATACCGCCCAGTCGCATAATTCTCCTCCATGTATCCCACGCTTGGCTTTCGACATATCGATATTTCGTCGCCCATGGTTTCGTCAGCATGTTTGCGAGCCAATAACGGCGAATCATTTCCATATTTTACCTGAAGATCCTCTTGCACAGCTTTCAAGTCCGCTGATAAATCGCTCCTCATGTCTGATGATTGTAGGTAGGAAAGAACTACTTTACAGCAATATGTACAAACTCTAAGATCTCCTGAGAAACATATAAAAATATTAAGAATTACCGCAAAACGTTTGGCGAGATCTCGTGCCTAATTATTTTTGTGAATTTTTCTAAATAAATATTCCAACTTTATAGTTGGAATATTTGCACGCTGATTATTATACAGTATTGAAATATTCATATATATTTGTGTTTCCCTACCGGTGCATCCCATGATTTTTCCCGGTATCTGATCAGAGCAGCACTTGGAGCAAAAAATTTGGCCGCATACGCGACAGTGGTGCCTTCGTCGAAATGTTGTAAATCTTTCGCCGCAGTCGTAACACTGTTTGCTCACGCTATCTGGCATCCAATAACTCCTCAACTGAGAATCCTTGTATGAACGTAGATTCTATAATGATATGAATAATTGTAAGAAATTTTATGCAAAATAGCAAGACAAAGAGTCTTTCACTTACAACTAGATTCTGATAAGAACGTAAAGACATCTGTCGCAAAACTCACATTACTTTTTAACGCTACAATGTTACTGATTCGTTTCAGGACATTTGGTAAACTGCGGCCTTCGCTGGTATCTAATGGGAAATTCATTATACTAGCGCTGTCGTCATCTGGGGTTTGTTCTGTGCTCTCCGACTGCTTCCAGGATTCTGAATCGGATGAGCTACGTTCGTCGTTGTTGGAGGACACTGTGGAATCATTAGCGCTGGGCGAATCTAAACAATAATCAAAAATTATAAAAAACTATATGTTTTTATTATCTAATTTAATAAACTTCTTGATCATGGAATTATTTATTTCATAACGAAGAGCGAGCACTCAAGATTAATCATAACAACATGAATTAATATTCAACAATTAACGTACAATGACACGTTGATAAATTACGTGTATACATAATATTATAAATATCAGATTCATATTGAAGACACTCACTCCTGGTGAAGTTGAAGAACTTGGAGAAGAGCGAGGCTACGACAGGTTGGCTCTCCTCGGGACTCAACGGAGCGAACTCCGTGAGTTTCGACGGTGAATTCATGTTCTTATTCATTCTCGCCAATACTATCTTCTCGCGTACATTTTAAAGCCGAATGAAATTCTGACTCTTAGGAATGCTCGTCTCTCCCGATCATTCCCGCTCCTGTTGATCCTGCTTGAGTTGCTTCCCGATGTAACGAACGAATTTGACAGCCGATCAGATGATCGCGATCGTGGCGACCGCTGGCATCGACTGCGTCTTCCGAATGGAATCCGTTTCTTAGCGCCACTAAATTGCACGAAACGCGTATCTCGAATTACGTAGCTACGCTACGGGCGAATGTTCTCAATGGGTAACGTGCTGAAGTTGAAATTATTTCTTTTTTTTTCTTTGGTCTCTTCTTTGAATCAAAATAGAATCAAAAGGCCAAAGATTTTTCTTTCTCTTAACGAGCATCAAAGTTATAATATTAATATTTTGATAAAGTCTATTTTTTTCAGCATTCCTTTTCAGACTCTCTTTTACATTTAATAAAATAAAAGAATTATTAATAAATTTGAGAAAGAGAGGGACAGAGAGGCAAACTATGCAAACATTATACGAAAAATAAAGTAAATTGACGAAAAATTTTATAATAATTATGCTAAAAATAATTCGTATCGTTATTGTTTTGCTGAAATATTATGTTGTAATTAATTGCGTAAATAATTATTAATATCTTTTATTAAGAAAATAGCATGTGTTTCTACATCGAAAAGACTTCTTCTTTCCATTGGATGTATTCAAATTTATTTCAGATAAGTCTTACAAAACATTCTCATTATTATAATCTTTTTATTGATAAAGATAAATAATAAATAATACTTGACTAAATTTATAAACTAAATAAGAAGAATCAAATAAAAAATAAAAAATTAAAGAATAAGTGAAGCGATCAAAAACTTTAACTTCATTAAATTTTATTATCGTTGTTACAGATTTACACAAACACAACAAAGTCTGTGTTTACATTGTTGTGTTTTCTATGTAAACACTATCAACATTGAACTTTCAATATGTAAAATAAATTAATTATATTGTATTATGAAATAATTAACGATAAATTGTAATTTATTGCATTGAAATTGTACAGTATGTAAAGTTTAGAAAATTACATATTCCAATGAAAATTTTTAAATAACAATTAATATTTTTAATTAAAATAATTCAAATATTAGATAAAGAATAATTAGTTTTAAGTTTGACATTTTTTAAATTTAATTGACTGAGAAAATTAATTATGAATTGTGAGACTTGTCACTATTCTATCCTGTTGTTATTCATTGTAAATATCAGAAACAAGAGTACTGGTGTTTATATATATATATATATATATATATATATATATATATATCAAACATGTCAATTCTGACAATATTTGTAATTCTGCAACGCTTTTCAAATTATGTAAATTTTTGCAGGTGCATATTAGAGACTTTTATCGTTAGTAGTTGAGACAAATTGCACGTTTGTGAGAGATGATTCGTCTTTGGCAATTTCGCAGTTTCGATTATCATTAGAATACGCGGTCAGAATAAGTTTTATTCTAAGTTTTATTTATCGCGTTTTAAATTTACCTTTCTATAGAATATAACTTTTCAAACTTTAAATTGAAAGCAAAGGTGCATTTGCATCGTCATGTTGAATTTATAATATATTGTGCGCGCAAAAAAATTCAATGAATTAAATTCATATGGATTTTATTTACATAGTATTTTGTAATACATACATATGTACAGCGACAATTAGCTTATGATAACAATTGTTTATTGTAACACACATAAAATATATAAGATATGTATATACATATCTATTTTTTTATAAGCTGCAACTAATCTATTAAACTAAAAAGCAAAAATATGAATAAATTATTCAGAAAGTATTTAAAACATAACGTTTATAGAATTTAATGTTAAATCATCAAAAGATGTTATAGTGCCTCGTATCGATTAAATAATATTCGTAATATTGTTAAATATTTACATTTCTTACACACATTGTTGGTATCGTAGCCTTGGAATTGTTTACGCGCTGTGTGTTGCGCGCGCCATACATACGGCGTGTAGCGCGAGCCGTGTTTACGAACGCTCCACGTGTTATCATTCTTTAATTGGTTTTCGTACGGGCAGGTAGTAAAGCGCGTCGCTCCACATTTCTTCATTTCTAAATGATACCAAACGTTGCTGCATTATATAAATACAATAGTAAATGCTTATTAACGATTAATTAACGATTAATATCGAAACAATGATTTTTTTAAAATAAATAATATACGTATATCGCGCGACTTATTTCTTTGAAATTTATAACTTTTCGTTAATTGACAACCCCTCCCATGGGTACGGCCTTGACGTGGCAGAGGGGCTCAGTATTCCGAGGGGTTCCGTTGGGTTTCCCAACGGAATCCCAAAGACGAAGAAGCCAACAGTACCCGTTGCACCGTTATTAATAACTTTAATATTAACATTAAGCAATATTATTGTTATTAATAATGTACTAACACAGCATAGCCACGAGTCGTGAAATGGCTCTTATGTGGCAAATTTAATTAATGCGTTTCACGCATTAATCGTCGGTTTTGAACCGACATTCCGCCGCCGATTTAATTGTAAATGAACGAACTGCAGCCAGTTCGTCGCGTCGCGCGTTTTGCTTCGGGAGTGCCGTAAGTGATCGAACTAAAAGACTTTTCCTCGTCCTGCGAGGGCTCGTTTAGAGAAATATCATAGTTCGTGCCGGGAGTCGCACTGTCAAGGGGTGCAGGGAGCGCGGGATCTCATTGAGGCGTAGTCGGCTACGTCTTCACGCCACGTGCGCCGCGGCACTGGTGATGCCGGCTGTGAATGTTACACGCACTCGCTACCGCTTGATGTGTTGTGTCTCGCACAGTTGCAAACTGCATTAAACGGCTGACTGAGAACACGCTCTGTCTTCGACAAGTGGTTCGGTTCCAATCGGCAAGATTTCAATCGGCTGACTTGTTTTCGTCGCTTCTCTTGATTTCTTATTTTCGAGACAGCATTGCCACGAGTCGTGAAAAGGCTCCTATGTGGCGCGTGTGTTTCACACACTGATTGTCGTGATTATTTAAAAGCGCGGCGCTCACACTTTTTTTTTATTTTCGACACAGCATTGCCACGAGTTGTGAAAGGGCTCCTATGTGGCGCGTGCGATTATTTAACGATCTTTATTTTCCCTTCCTAAACAAATCGCGTTTAATCTGACTCGATCAGAGCTTAGTTCGGACGGTTATTGCGTGTGCCGAGAGGCTGGATCTCAGTTGTCCGATTGTCTAGATTGTTAGGCATCGGCGATGGGTACCTTCTCTCTCGTCACATCTACCAGCCTTCTCGATAGCCCGGGTGACGTTTGATATCACGTGTATGGTATCCGCCCTGGTGATTCGACCTGAATCGTTGGCTATGTGATGGTTGAGTCAATTTTAGACGTGATTCTGAAGAAACAAGAGATGTCGGATTCAAGTCAGTCGATTCGTCTTCTTCCGCTTCGGTCCTAGCCCTTGCTTGAGGAGTTACCGTGTGTCCCGAAAAGCTCACCGACTCGGGTGCTGACTGGACCGATGGAACTTGATATTTTCACGGGCAGCTAAACGCGGAGTGCCGTCAAATATCGCGCGAAAGACTTTTATTGAAAATTAGTCCGCGCGCGTTATTAAAATAATTCGCGAGTGTTTTTCGCGAGTGTTTTTCGCGAGTGTCCTGTGCTGCGAGGACATCCGACGACCCGACACCTTGAGAGGAGAAGGAGGCCTTGGAGAGGCATCGAGCACCGGCGGAGCAACCTTGCGGTAAGTACATATTTTTTATCAAGATAAAATTATTTCCTTTCTCATTTATTTGGATCACCAAATTTCGATATTTTAAAATTTATAGTTTGGGAAAGAAAAACAATTTGATATGAATTTCTATAAAAATCTTTTTTGAAAATTATATAATTTTTTATAAATTATATAATTATTTGTAATAATTTATAATTATATAATTATTTGAATAAATATCTAATTGAAAAACAAGTAGATTGAATATACGTAAATACATTTAAAAAATTTTTTAAATATCTATCATTTAAAGCGCTGCTATAATTTGCATTTTGTTTGTGTGTTACAGAATCATCGTAGCTACGTTGCAGATTAACTCCGCTGTTGCGCATCGGATCGGTGAGTGATAAATTTTTTATATTGGGATAATAAATCTGTGAA